CAATCCACTCACCTCAGCCTCCCAAAGGCGTGGGATTACAGGCTGATCCACCAAGCCCAGTGCCAGACGCTTTCTTATAGTATAATTGTTCAAGGTCTGCTTAGAAGTGAGATCATATGGTACTCTGTTCTTTGTTTCTGTGATAGATCACTGAGTATGATCACCTCCAAGCCCATCCAATTGCTGCAAAGTCCATATATTTGTCCTTCTTTATGGCTGCATAATATTCCATTGTGTCTATGTACCACATTTTCTTTATCCAGCCCAGCTTGTCTTATACATCTGGAACGTCAATGCCGTTCCACCAGGCATCTCAGTCTTACTGGATACAACAGGACTAGGCTCCCACCTTCAAGCCTGTGGCCTCTGTGTCAATAGACGGCCCTGTCATTCACCCAGGAGTCACAACTCAAGACCTCAACGTACTACTCATTCCTAGCCTGTTTTTTATGCACTGTCTCAAATTCCTATTAGTGCTATCGTCACTATCTTATGACTCCTACTGCTTTGGGCTGGGTGTAGTGACTCGCGCCTGTGATCCCAGCATTTTGGGAGGCTGAGGTGGAAGGATTGCTTGAGCCCAGGAGTTCGAGACCAGCCTGGGCAACCTAGCGAGACCTCGTCTATACAACAAATAGAAGAATTAATTAGGCGCGGTGGCGCTTGTAGTCCTGGCTTCTAAAGGCTGAGGTGAAAGGATTACCTGAACCTGGGAGGTCGAAGCTGCAGTGAGCTGTGATCGTGCCACTGCACTGCAGCCTGGACAAGAAAGTAAGACCCCGACTCAAAAAACAACAACAACAAAACTCTGAGCACTTTTGATGGGTGGATTGCTACCACACCAGTCCAAGCCAGCATTACCTTTAGCTGGGGTCACTGCAGGGAATCCTGCTAGAGCTCGTGGTCACCTTGTCCTCAGGACCGCCTCGACCCCCTCAGTCCACCACCCCCCAGCTGCCAGAGTGAGTCTTTGAAACGCAAATCAGGTGATGTCACTTCCTGCTCAAAACCCTCCAAGGGCTCCAGTCACACACAGAGCAGAATCCCAGCTCCTCCTGCCCAAAGAGCCTGAGTGCTGGCCTCTCTCCACCTCAGGTCCTGGCACTTTCCTCCTCACTCAGCTCCATCCTGGCCTCCTCTGCTATTCCTTGAACAGTTTCTATTTTTTTTAGACACTGGAGTACAGTGGTGCAATCATAGCTCACTGCAGCCTCAAACTCCGGGGCTCAAGCAATCCTCCTGCCTCAGCCTCCCGAGTATCTGAGACTACAGGTGCACACCACCACGCCCAGCTATTTTCTTATTTTATTTCTTATAGAGATAGGGCCTTGTTATGTTGCCCAGGCTAGTCTTGAACTCCTGGCCTATAGCCATCCTTCCACCTTATACTCCCAAGGTGCTGGGACTACAGACATGAGCCATCAACTGTGAGTATCTTGTGAAACACCTCTTCCTCTGCACCTGAAGCCCTGCCCATCCCTTCTGATAGAGAGATTTTTTCCCCCCAGACAGTCACATGGCTGTCCCGCTCACAGTTCTGCTCAAATAGCAGTTTTCCTGACCACTGTCTCAAGCACATGCAGCTCTGTTTTATTTTTCTTTGTGGTATTGCCATGACTTATTTTATAAATACGCATGCGCGTGGGTGTATTAATACGTACAACAATTCGTGTAAAGTTCGTCTCCGAAATCACGCATGTACTCCATGAAGGGAAGGCCTCTGTCCTACCCATGGCTGGACTCCCACTGTCAAGAATAGTGCTGCTGGGCTCAGTGGCTGAGCCTGTAATCCCAGCACTTTGGGAGGTCGTGGTGAATGGATTGCCTGAGCCCGCGGGTTTCAGACCCACCAAGGCAATTTGGTGAGATCTCGTCTCTACAATAAATCAAAAAAATTAGCTGGACATAGTAGGTGGTTCCGGCTACTTGAAAGGCTAAGGTGGAAGGATCACCAGAGCCCAGCAGGTCGAGGCTGCGGTGGCCGGGAGCGGCCACTGCACTCCAGTCTGGGCGACAGAGTGAGACTCCAACTCAAAAAAAAAAATAGTGCTGTAGTCACTAGCAGGCCCTGATCACGGGCCACAGGAGCACAAGGATTGGACTGGCAGATGCTGGACACCACTGAGTAGGGGGGGAGGGAAGGAGAGAGAAAGGAGGGAGGAGGGAACGTGGCAACACATGGGGTACCAGGTTCAATACTGGGGGAGACAGGGCCTGCTAGAAGCCCAAACTTTGCCCACACACAACTTACCTATGCAGCAAATCCTCACTTATACCCACAGCTCTAAAATTAAAAAAAAAAAAAGTAATGCTTGCACCTTGTAGGTCTTAAAGAACTACGTGGAGAGATGTTCTTGTGTTAAAATTGGCTTGCATTCAGTCAGGAACTCCAAACGCTACGAAAATAAGTCCTAAATGAAAAACGAAGTAAGGGTGTTCCATAGGGCTCGGGCTCTCAGATTCATAGGCTTTGCAGAAAACTTGCAGATCTAAGCCCAAAAGCAGGGGCCACAGAATTCTCTTTTTTTCTCCCTAGGAAACCTAGTGGAAATTTTTATTTGGAGATCTAGCAACAGAATAACAGAAAAAGGCCCTTTTACTTCTCAGAATGCTAGTATAAATAAGTATTAAAAACAACAAGAAAAGTTTCTGCATTTAAAACAATCAAGTGATTGCAATATTTGTAACAAGTGAAAGGAGAAAAAAGTTTTCCCTGGTTTTACTTTTACCCTGTAGTTCTGTATATGCATTAAAAAATTATGATATTATGATGAGGTGGAAGGATCGCCTGAGCCCAGGAGGTAGAGGCTGCAGTGAGCCATGATTGTGCCACTGCACTCCAGCCTGGGCAACACAGTGAGACCCTGTCTCAAAAAAATGGTAAGACTATGAATTTGGTTTGAGACAAAATGAAAGGGAAAAGTCATATCAGAGTATTAACAACGAAAACACAGTTTCCTCCCTCAATAATTCCTTTGAAAACTGTCAAATGTGGGTTTAAAACAGCAGCTAAACGCACAAGACTTAAATTCACCATAAATGAACGTTACTCTAATCTACTGTATGTTTAAGTTATGACAGCTACTATAAGCCATGAAAAATCACTTTATCATATCATACACTGTAGAATCCCATCAGTACAAAGCCGCCTAGGAGTGCAATTCCAGCAAGTAACTCTCTGAACCTGCTGCTCTATCTGGGCTTTCCTTAAGGCACTCGATCACTTTTCATCTTTTTTTTGTGGGTAGCGGCATTTTTAGACAATGTCTGTTCCATCTCTGCAGTCCTACAGGGCCAGCACAATGACTGGCCCACTCAGGACCCATTTTCTGAGTGAAAGAATGAAGGGATGATGAAGAGAGGTCAAGTCGAGTAAGAGTCGCAGTGAATGCTGCAAACATTTAATAATGGATACAGAGCGAGCCCGAGGGGCTCATGCCTGTCATCCCAACATTTTGGGAGACTGAGGCAGGAGAATCAGTTGAGGTAAAGAGTCTGAGACCAGCCTGGGCAACATAGCAAGACCCCATCTCTACCCAAAAATTTTTTATAGAAAAAAATTAGCTGGGTGTGGCGGTGCCTGTAGTCCCAGCTACTCAGGAGGCTGAGGCCAGAGGACGGCTTGAGCTCAGGAATTGGAGGCTGTCATGAGTTATGATGATCATGCCACTGCACTTTAGGTGACAGAGGGAGACCCTGTCTCAAAAATATATTTTTAAATTTACATATTTATATGAATAATATTTAGAGAGTTTTAAACATGCCTAATGACTACTTTCTGTATCATATCCTATGAGACACAGTGTAAAGAACAGACAGATCTCTACATGTGATTTATGTCTACTCTGTTTTGCATCACAGTATTTATCACGGCTATAATAGGGCCTGATATCATTTGTGTGGTCACTGGCTTGTCGACTACCTTCTCCAATTTAAGTCCAGAAGGGCAAGGACCGAGTGGCCTCTTAGGGTCTCAGCACCTCACAAAAGCAAGGGTCCAATCAAAAGATTTTGAATCAATGAACATAATCAAAGCTATGCTACTGCATACTTTGAAAATGATGGGTCCCCTTCCTTCTTTTGTGGGAGGAGGGGTTGGGGTCTCACTCTGTTGCCCAGGCTGGAGTGCAGTGGCATGACCAGGGCTCACTGCAGCCTCAAACTCCTAGGTTCAAGCAATCCTCCCACCTCAGCCTCCCGAGTAGCTGGAACTATAGGCATGCGCCACCACGCCCGGCTAATTTTTTGATTTCTTGTAGGGACAAGGTCTCGTCATGTTGCCCACATTGGTCTCGAACTCCTAGGCTCAAGTGATTATCCTGCCTTGGTCTCCCAAAGTGCTGGGATTACAGGCGTGAGCCGCGGTCCCAGCGTGGGGAGGTTACCAGGTTAGCTGAGGTTACCAGGTACTCACAGCTTCACAGATCCTAATAATTTATTTTTCATTGGTTTTAGATACACACTTTTTCACACGCATCTTACAATTGATAGTGTCTTAGTACCATGTATAGTTTAATTAGAAATATTTTTTTCTTTCTGAGTATAACATAAAATAACAGTCTTAAGAAATGATGCTGGCTGGATATGGTATATTATGCTGGTAATCCAAGTGCTTTGGGAAGCCAGGGCACGGGGATCACTAGAGCCCAGGAGTTGGAGGCTGCAGTGAGCTATGATCACACCACTGCACTCCAGTCTGGGTGACAAAGCAAGACCTTGTCTCTTTTTTTTTTTGAGTTGGAGTCTCATTCTGTCACCCAGACTGGAGTGTAGTGGCACGCTTACGGCCCCTGCAGCCTTGACCTGCTGGGCTCCGGCGATCCTTCCGCCTCAGTCTTCCAAGCAGCTGGAACTACAGGCGTGCACTACCAGACCCGGCTAATTTTTGATTTATTGTAGAGATGAAGTCTCACCAAGTTGCCCAGGCAGGTCTGGAACCCGCAGGCTCAGGCAATCCACTCACCTGAGCCTCCCAAAGCGCTGGAATTACAGGCTGAGCCACTGAGCCCGGCTAACTTTGTCTCTTTTTTTTAAAAAAAGCGTGGTGTTTTCTAATCAATGCAATATTGTCCATGTCATTTTAATGTGAAAAATACAAAAACTTTGAGTACTTACATCAATTAAATCTGAAAGGTCGTGAATATAATACTTGAAAACGGAGGCGTTGGTTGCTTCGAGTGTTAGGAGATACTCATTCCGTGCCTTGATTGATTTGAGCTTGTTTTCCGAATATTTTGCTTGTCTCTGGAATGAAGACCATCCAGGCATTGGAAAAGAAAGCAAAGTCATTTTAAAACAAGACAGAGAAACATACAAGAACGTTTATTCATCTAAACAATGTATCCCACTTCTACAGGCGACCCTTGAGTCCTTTGCCAAAAGTACATTTCGAATGTGATTTAAAATGCAAACTAAAATTCCCCAGCCATGGGGAAGAACAGCCATGCTTTTGGGCTTCAGGCCCATTTGCGATGACGTGTCTTTGTTAATAATCACGTCCCCACATTGTGCACTGGATACTTGGCGTTCGCCACTAAATGATGTCCAGCTGTTAGGACACGATTTTTGCATGTCTCAAACACGTTTCGATCCCCCGGGAGGACATGCGTGTCAGGTGCCTGTGATTTACGACGTGCTTGCATCAGCTGGGTCCCCAGGTGAGGCCAGGAGGGCCCTGCGGGACGTTCGCACTGACCTTCTCCTTCATCTTTTCTATTTTCTTGACGGAGCTTCTCCTCTGGTGTCTCTCCTCCAGCCGGATGTGGAAGACGGGGTCCCCCGCCCTCCCGATCTGCTTCTCCTCCTGCTTCTCGGCCTCCTTCAGCTTGCTCTCGGCGCTGATGCTCTCGGCGTGGTACATGTGATACGTTTTCATCACCTGTGGAAAGAGACTGGGACGGTTGAGAGATGGCCGGCCGTAACTCGGCATGAGCACGAACCATGACTGCACACGCTCTGCTCACTGAGAAGCTCACCGCCCAGCGAGCAGGGGTAAGCCAGATGCAAAGAAAAGAGGGGAATAAGCCGGCTCGGTGGCTCAGCCTGGAATCCCGCGCCTTTGGAAGGCTGAGGTGAGTGGATGGCCTGAGCCCGCGGGTTCGAGACCCGCCTGGGCAGCGAGACCCCATCTCTACAATAAATCAAAAAATCAGCCGGGCGTGGTAGCGCATGCCTGTAATTCCGGCTACTCGGAAGGCTGAGGCGGAAGGATCGCCGGAGCCCAGCGGGTCGAGGCTGCGGTGGCCGCTCCCGCCGCACTCCAGTCCGGGCGACAGGGTGAGACTCCGACTCAAAAAAAAAAAGAGGGGAATAGTGGACAGAGCCAACTAGGCAAATTCACCAGCCAGGAAGAGGCACTTGGGGATGGGCGTGGATTAAAAGATGACTTATGGAGTCTCATGCGTGCTTTTCGGGGTATACGAAAAGTTCTCCTAAGCTCGTAAGTGTTCCTCTGAATGTTCCTCTTATATTATTAATTTGTAGAATAAACCATGTTTTCATGGATCGATTTAAGGCCAACCCAACTACAGCTGAGTAGAGTTCTTATTGAAGGAATTTTATTATATAAAATCTTCGTGTCAAAATAAAAACCATAAATATTAAGGCTCATACATAATTTTAGTTTGAAGACATTGTTTTTCTGACGGCAAAGTAATACTTTATATTCAGTCTAGAATACATATAATTGGTAAAAAAGAGAAAATAAAAAGCAAGCAAAGATAACCACTGCTGAGATTTTGGTACACAATCTTTTCCTTATGAAAACTCTCTCTCTCTCTCTCTCTCTCTCTCTCTCTCTCTCTCGTTCATTTAAAAATGCCATATAGGCCAGGCCTGGTGGCTCAGCCTATAATCCCAGCACTTTGGGAGGCCAAGGCAAGTGGATTGCCTGAGTCCGTGGGTTGGAGACCAGCCCAGGCAACTTGGTGAGATCTCATCTCTACAATAAAATTAAAAAATAGCTAGGTGTGGTGGCACGTGTCTGTAGTTCCGGCTACTTGGAAGGCTGAGGAAGAAGCCCAGAAGTTCACCCAGGCTGGAGTCCAGAAGTTCGACGATGGGGTGGCCATGAGCATGTGTGCCACTGCATTCCAGCCTGGGTGAAGGAGTGAAACTCCAATTCAAAAAAAAAAAAAAAATGCCATATATAATTTTTGCTTTTAAAAACTTGGGATCATCCTGTATTTATAATTTTCAATGTCATTTTTCACTTAATATATTAAAACATTTTTAAATACCATTAAGTATTCTTTTAAAGTATCAGCTTAAAGGCTGCATGGTATTTTTCCATATGACTAAGATGCAACTTAACAAATTCCCTGTTGTTGAAAATTTTAGGATATCTCAACCACTTCCTTTATAAATAAATTTGTGGTGAGGGCTGGGCATAGTGACTCATGCCTGTAATCTCAGCACTTCAGGAGGCCAAGATGGGAGGACTGCTTGAGCTCAGGAATTCAGTCTAACCAACACAGCAATGCTCCATCTCTACAAAAAATAAAAAAAATTAGCCAGGTGTGGTGGTGTGTGCTTGTAGCCCCAGCTATTTGGGAGGCTGAGATGGGAGGACAGCCTGAGCCCAAGAGGCTGAGGCTGTGGTGAGCTGTGATTGTGTCATTGTACTCCAGCCTGGGTAACAGAGTGAGGCCCCAACTCAAAAGCAAAAAAAAAAAACCAAAAAACAAATGAAAACTTGTGTTGAAAACAATGGATGTGTATCCTATTTCTTACTTTATTAAAGTTAGGAATATAAAGAACATACAAATTTTATAATGTATTTTTCCATGTATATTGTAAATTTATACAATGAATCCTCAGTTATTAAAAATTGTGGTCATGGTTGGGCGCAGTGGCTCACGCCTATAATCCCAGCACTTTGGGAGGCCAAGGTGAGAGGATTGCCTGAGCCTACAGGTTTGAGGCCAGTCTGGGCAACTTGGTGAGACCTCATCTCTTCGATAAGTCAAAAAATTAGCTGGGTATGGTGGCACGTGCCTGTAGTTCCAGCTACCTGGAAGGCTGAGGTGGAAGGATTGCTGGAGCCCAGCAGGTCGAGGCTGTGGTGGCTGTGAGCGTGCCACTGCAC